AGGCCATATGCATACATATACACATAGTTCAGATTCATGTCGTTGATGTCACTGTTCATTGCCATGCAGGACAGAGGTTCGTACACAAAGAAATACATCATATTCATTGACAGTATATAAAGGTCAGAATCATGTGAAGGAACAACTATTGGCAAAGTCGCTGGCAGAGTAACGGATTGCGCCCGGCTGGCTACAATGTGTCAGAAACTACAAGGGAGGCTCGAGTCACTGTATGATCATTTGGGAGGAGTCTGAGAACTTGGGAACCTGCCACCGTGAGTATTTTTGATGATTTGCTGTCATTTGATATATTAAAATGATTAATGTCGGGTGTGTAATGTAAGCAAAACATATTTCAACTCTTAATTCATATGTACGATATAAATTTTGGTTAGGGAGACTACCATTGATAGGTGAGGAGGTCATTGGACGGGCTATGACCCAGTATTGGTAAATATTAACAATAAATGTGATTTTCACCCTCGTGTTCAATACTTCTCCTCATATAAATATGTTTTTAAATATAAAATTACCGTTATTTAAAACTTGAACAACATAAAGAAACACGAATAAGGAAATGAATGGGACATTATAATAATCATAAATTTAGGGTCCTCATCTTTCAAACAAGTAACTCTAAGATAATTTAGTGAAGCAAAAACCTTACACCCATCCTTCCCTTCCTCCTCTCATCAATTTCCCTGCTTTCTTCAATCACTTCCCTCTGTGATGATCAATTTGCATCGCATACCACTCCCCCACACCCCTAACCCCCCAACAAACAGCCCTCCGCCAAGCCGATCATTCCCCCCTCTTCACCCCATGTGACTTACCGTGTAGACTGAACCCGGCCAGGAACAGGGGTTAGGTGGTGGAGTGGATTATTGCTTTTGACCGTGACTGTACGTATGGCGAAGTTGCTGTCTTTTTGTACTGAAGTAGGTGTTTTGTGATTTGTTAGGGTTTGGTTGTATTTGTCATTCGAGTTCCCAATGTGTGACCTTTCTCTGTGAGATGGTCTGGCAATAGTTTTTGTCTGACTATTTGTGTTACGTCGTTGGCGTACTGTATGGTCAATGAGTCGGTGTGTATGGGGTCAGGCAGGTCATTTGTGTAAAGAATGTACAGTGTTGGGGAGAGGACTGATCCTCGTGCTGAGAGGTCTTATTATTAACTTTCAGGGGTTGTGGAGTAAGTATAAATACCCCTCCCTCCACAGAAAGTATGAAGTACGTATTTATGATGGTAAGTTCAGGTTTTGGAAGATCACTCTGGTAGAGAAGTTATGGGACAAAGTGGTGATTTGTACACTTTTTGGTGTACTATAGAGAGTTCTCTACTAACAATGCTCAACTTGCTATGCTCCTGCACTGCAAAAAAAATGGTATGAAAAGGATTAATTCAGTATTCCTAATGTGCTGTGTTCATGCCTATGGTTCCAGCTTTAACTTACTTTCTCTACATATTGTTATATAAGTATCAGTACATTTGAAACACTTAGGATGCTAAAGGTGAAGAGAAGACCTATGAAAATAACTTGGCACTGATCTTCACATTAGCGTTTGTACTGTAGGTGGTAACCCCATTTTCAACGGAGTATAACATGTTGCTTGACTCCTGACCGTTGAGCGTACACTCATATTTCCTTCTGACTTGGCAATAGTCCTTTTCCCACAAACACGTGTTCTGACTTCTCTTTCTAGCATGCCCACTCCCTTCACCAACACTCTAACGAACTCATTGTTACTTGAAATATTATTTTTTAAACATAAATAGCTCCAATAGCTTGCTGGCAAGCGTTGAACTGGCGTTGATTGCCTGTGAAAGAGAAGTCAAGAGTGTAATCCGTAGTACAATGGAATTACAAATTGACCATGATAGTTAGGAGAACATGCTGAAACTTTGAGGATATATAGAGGAGACCTTACTAACCTATATGCTAAAATTCACCCAAATCTGGTTGCTGGTTTTCTAGTTATAGTAAAAAAACGGAAGACATCTTTGATTTTGGCATATGATTTTTTTATTGCCGCTAGCAGGCGAACCAACTGACTTATCGAGTTAACTTTTTCTGTAAAATATTTTTCTTGTTGTGCTCTTTTAATGTTATCTCCTTTGATTAATACAAAATAAACCATTTAAAATTCTTCAGTAATAATGCAAAAATTTTATTTTATCACATATGCAAAAATTTAGATTCCCCATGACTTACTCTTTTGTTTAGGTTTAAATAGAAAATATAAGTTGTACAGCAATTCAGATTCAAACGAAATCATATAGTACTTCAGATTTTGGCCATGAACTACAATTCTATACCATACAACTAAAGAACCGAGATTCATCAATGATACAAGAAATCCAATAAAATTAGATAACATAAAAGTATCATATATGTTGCAAGAAGATCACCCTGTGGGTAGAAGGAATCCTGTTTTATTCTATGAATCCAAGGATTCAATAGAAAAAAAAACTTATTTGTGTAATTCAAGGAATCCCTAACTTTAATATCTCTGAAGGCTAGTACATTAAGGAAATTGTTAATATCATTTTCTACAAACAGTTGTGCGACAAAGTTCATTATTCGCAAGTTTAGGGATAATCCTAGTACCCCAGATCCACTACGTGACTAAGACAGATCACTTATAACCCTACCCCTTCATTTGTGGCCTCACTCTGCCACGATTCAGGTACTGGTGGCCAAAGTAATGTTGGTATGTTTTCTTTATGACATCGGTTGGTTTATAGCAGATCTGTGTTGAGAAGAGTGACTCATTCACCAAAACATATTCGCAGAATAAACATAGTTCTAAGAAGAGTGTTTTTCTTCAGTACATTATATACCTCAGTCAGGTGAGGTATATACTGTATAACTTCGACTGTCATAGTTTGCCCTCCTGGCACGGGTAACCACCTCCTGCATGCAATCGTCACGGTGATATTTCAGTCTGGAAATAAGTTGGTTTTTGACTGGACCACCCGGGGATCCGTGGTCAATAGTAATACTAAGGTGCACAAACATGTGACTCATGTAATATGTGAGAAAGTTTCAGGTCTCTAACTTTTCTGTTTAGAAGCTATGGCTGGATCAGACAAACACAGACACTTACAGAGATACCCGGGGTTCGTGATCAACAAAGTAATATATATATATATAGATATAAC